CTATGTTTTTTCCCTAATGCTTTCTTTTCAAATAAGGGTTGGATCTGGATATAATAACTGTGTTGTAAAGAACAGGAGAAGACAGTAGTTTGGCCTTTACGTCATTGACATATCTTTTGCTTTATTCTGACATGTCTGTTGATTATCAGGTCATTTGTTACTTAATGCTCTGTTTTCTTTTGTTTTCTTTTGAGTAAAACAACTATTTTATTCCAGTTACTTTGAATGGGATATATATATATATATATATATATATATATATATTTATTTATTTTATTTATTTACNTATATATATATATAAATGACATTTAATTTTGTACAGCTTTCATTAGATTTCCATTCCTTAGAGTGTAGCAGTGATCAAATGCAAACATTGTGGGTGTTTGGTTTGGTGTTGTATGATGCAGAGTCTGTGACATGATTTAGAGTTTTATAAACAGTTCAGCAATCTGATGGCAGTGGGGAAGAAGCTGTTTCGGAATTGGCTCAACCTGCATTAAAGGCTTCGAAGCCTCTTCCCAGAAGGCAGCGGTAAGAACAGTCCATGGTGAGGGTGGAAGGGGTCATTGATATTGTTATGGGCTTGGGAAACGCAGCGGTGGGATGAAATGTCTTTTATGGAGGGAAGAGGAGATGATCTCTGCTGTTCTCACCACTCTTCTTACTTTCTTCCAGTCTGAGAAGCTGCAGCCTCCACACCACACAGTGTGACACCTGGTCTGAACGCTCTCTATGGTGCTTCTGTAGAAGGTGGTGAGGATGGTTGGGGGCAGGTGGGCTCTCCTCATCCTCTGCAGGAAGTATAATCACTCTTGTGCCTTTTTGACCAGTTAGGTGGTGTTTACAGTCCAGGTGAGATTGTCTTTTGTGCAACCCCAGGAATTTGGAGCTGCTGACCACCTCTACAGCTGAGCTGTTGATGAGCAGTAGAGCATGGTTAGGTCGGTTCTTTCTGAAGTCAACAATGATCTCCTTCATTTTCTCCACATTCTGGATCGGGCTGCTATTTCTGCACCAGCCCACCAGCTGCTCCACCTCCTCTCCGTAGTCCTGGTCGCTGTCATCTCTGATGACGATAGCGTGGTGTCGTCTGCAAACTTCATGGTGTGATAGGTGGTGAACCTGGGGACGCAGTTGTGTGTCATTGGGGGGAACAGCTGGGGGCTCAGGATGCAGCCCTGAGGGGAGCCTGTGCTTAAGATGAAGACATCAGAGGTGTTCTCCCCAACCCGGACTGACTGAAGTCTGTTTGTGAGGAAGTCTAGCAGCCAATTGCAAAGGGGTTTTCTATCAGATGCTGTGAGATGAAGGTATTGAAAGCTGAACTGAAGTCCAGGAACAGCATCCGCACATAGGTGTTCTTCTCGTCCAGGTGTGCCAGGCTCAGGTGAAGTGCAGAGGAGATGGCGTCTTCAGTGGAGCGGTTTTGTCAGTAGGCGAACTGGAGTGGGTCAAATGTTAGCGGCAGACTGGAGACGATATGACCGAAATGAGGTGGCGGACTTGAAGCATGCTGGCATTATGGATTGGTCCAGCAAAGTGGTAAAAATGTCAGTGATGACACCAACCAGTTGACCTGCATATTCCTTGTATATCCACCCAGGTACAGTATGTTATCAGGGCCTGGGGCCTTTCTTGGGTTGACTCTCCTCAGAGTTTTCCTCACTTCAGCTATGTTAAGGTTGAGTGCCTCCTGCCCCTGGTGTGGAACGGCTTTCACTACTGGAGTGCTGTTTAGTGCCTCAAACCTTCCAAAGAAGTTGTTTTACTCATTTAGGAAGTCAGCATTAGCTGCATCTACCAGGGGGGAGGGTGCGTTGTAGTCTGTGATCGCCCGTATGTCTTGCCACATCCTCCTGGTGTTGCTGGCATCATGGAAGAGATCCTGGTTCTTCTGGCTCTGGTTCTGCTTCGCTGATCTGATGGCACGGTTCAAGTTGGTACGTGCTGTTCTCAGTGCCTCTCTGTCACCAGTTTTGAAAGCTTAGTCCTGTGCTTTTAGTGATTACTAACCTCCCCATTCATCCAGGGTCGTTGGTTGGCCCGGGTGGTGATGTTCTATGTAATGCTGACGTCTTCAATGCATTTGTTGATGTTGGCTGACATAGTCATGGCGTACTCATCTATATATTTTTTGTGTGTGTGTCTGTGTGTATGAGAGTGAGTGTTTCTGTGTTAACAAGGATTTGAAAGAAATCAAACTAGTATAAATGGTACTGGAATCCTTAATAAGGCAAATAGCCAGTTAATCCAAACAGATAAAATACATAAAATGCATAGGAATATTACAAAAAATCATTTGTTTCCGGTTTGACTTTATCTTATTTTCAGAAACACAAGCAGATTCTATTTGGTATACTTGAGAATGGAGAGAGGCGGAAGTTCAATAAGAGCCTGTACACAGGTAGAAGTGAGTTGCAAAAAAGAAATACTGTATCTCGCATACACTGTTATTTGAAATAATACTACACACCTGAGTTAAAAAAAAAAAGGTTTTCATCCACAACAACCCACAGAAACACACTACTGAGCATTTGTTGACCAAGTAGAGGTGTTAGTTGTGGAGCCATTAAGTCATCTCTATGCAGGGAGTGGCGGCCTAGTGGTTAGGGCATAGATCTTGGAATCCTGAGGTTCTGAGTTCGAGCCCCGCTCTTATAGACCACCATTCTGGGAATCTGATCAAGACCCTAACTCCACATTGCTCCCTGGTGCCCCACGATGGCAGCACACTGCATCCCCAAGGGGATGGGTTAAATGCAAACATAAATTTCTCCAGTGTGAGATCAATAAAGTTCAATTATTATTATTACTATTAAGTCATGTAGTTGTTCTGCTCAGCTGCTGAACGGAGGGGAGTCCAAGCTGCAAAGTGACTTAAATTGTGCAAATTGGACCAAAGAACTTTACTGGAGTTAATACATCCTTAGATTGGAAAAAGTGTGTATGATTTTTAGTGTTTCTACTGTAGACAAAATTAAGCCTAATAAAATATTCAAGACTGGACTAAAAGTGGGACTGATGAATCATAGACTTGGTTTAAACTTTTGGTAAAGGTTGTAGCCTCAACCTTTCTTCAAATGGACCTAACAAAACTTACAGAGCAAAGCAAACATTTGACTGAGAAAACATGAAAGCTGTCCGTCCTCTAAATCCTATTATGTTGAATATCTGATAATATGTTGTAATGATGCATGCTACATACATTAACACATTTAAAAAGTTGTTTCACATAGCTAGAATATGCTTAACCATGTACCGCTAGCATTTAGTAACCTAATGCTATTTGACTTTTCTAAAAACTCATGGTGATATTGCATCTTTCTAACACAGGTAAGAAAACTAATAGTCGAAACATTGTTACACAACCAGTAAATTCTAAAATGCATCTTCAAATGCTGTGAATTTAATAGGTGATTCTTGCTCAGTCAATGCTTAAGTTGTAGGGTCTTTTGTTACTTTGGTCACTGGTGGGGTTCTAGTTCAAGTCCTGAACATAAACAAAGTGGTGTGGAAATGGGCCTAACATGTTCCCTTAGCATTCCAATGTGGTACCAAAGGGCTCCTAACAAAGCATCAGCATGTGATGAACTGGGAGGGAACCTGGGCTTGTGTAATCTTCTTTTTTAGCCATGTCTTCTTTTCTCAGCACACATCCCTTTAAACATGCAGGCCAGACACATGCTGTGGATGTTTGTGGCTTTAAATGTTCGCTCAGCAGAAATCCAAAAAAATCACTGTCAGGATAGAAAGTACACTTTTGCTTTTATCCAGAGGAGATTAGATATAAAAAAAAATTAAGAAAGTGAAAGGATTATCTAGGACTATTACAGATTAACAGGTCTGCTTTCAGTAAATGACAAGAAATAGGAATTTACAATAAGGAAGCTTTAATAGACCACAAGTTCTGATTTGCACAAAGCAGTACCCCAGAGAGAGCTCTCGTATTCAGTTAAAGACATGACTTACTACCCTTCAGTGTGTTTCCTGAGGTTAATGCCATATCCAGCTGAACCTAAGCTAAAAAATAGCATATACAGCAACCCAAATATAGAAAAGAACATACAGTCAGGTACTGTAAGTGTGCTGGGAAACCCGATAGCCATCCTTAGAAAACCTGTAGAGACATTAAGTCAATAGTATCATATTATTTACTGCCTGCCATATGTCAATACACAGCTATAGACAAAATAGTTGAGGAGAGGGCTAACTGAGACAATTTATGATATCATCAATGTGGAAGAGCAATAGGGTGGATTCACAACATTCCAAGACATCTGTGTTTGTCTCCTGCTGACCATGATCCTCTGAAAGATTTATCACCATTTTTTTCCTTGGTATGTTCAATTCCTCTCTTGTGTCTGTGGAACAAAAACTTCATGATGAATTAAAAACAAAGCATGTTGTTGTGGCTTTTGAAAATCCATGGTTAAGTGCAAAGAAGTCATTATTTACGTGGGACTAAAAAGACGTACAATATGTTGCACTGTCATTGTGCCAAGTTTAAAGTGCTGCCTTGGTTCACCACATCTGCCACAAAAGCATTTCCACTTGTCTGTTTTAGCTTTTAGATCCACTGTTACATAATGGCCACTCAGGCTTAAAGTTATTTAAATGACTGATTTTAGATCCAGTTCAACAAAACAGTTATTGGATTAAGACATTTCAAACAATGACTGTCTTTGCAGAAGAGTTTACACAGAGAAAATTCACTTGCATCTGTTTCCAATTGTTTTTATTATTATATTTCTGATTAAGCAACACATAGAGGGTGAAAACTCCCTGGGGTTTATCTTTCCTCTGAAATCAAAGTGAAAACAAGAGGCAGGGAAAAGCAGTTGGAATGAAAAACCAAACTCACAAATGTTTTCATCCCCTCCAAGATCGCTCTCTTTATCCCTGGGTAAATATTTCGTTTGGTCTGTATCCTTCATGGTCGTTCACATAAAACCTCCTTTGTTTTTCCATCATCCCTAACCTGCATGTAATTTGTTGTTCAGATTACAGGTACTTGCACAACCACTGCCCAGGTCCAGAGTGGAACATTATGTGCAGAGGCTGCTGTGAGTATGACGTTATCCGCTGTAAGTGTCCTATACAAGGCACTCCGGTTGGCTACGCTGTGCCCTGCTGCCGGAATGCCATCAACGAGTGTGACCCCTGCATCATTCATCCAGGTAATGGCACTGTGAATACTGACACATAGAAATACAGCACTAAGTTTGCCATTAGCTTTAAATAGCTTGTAGCCTTTCATATAATATGCAGATAAAAAATACTTATAACAACTGATGCATTTGCTTTGTTTCCTTTCTGTTCAATGTTCCTCACATCCTTCACTCATTCAATGCAATAGGCAGCTGTTTTAAATCTCTCAAGAGTAATGAACTAATTTTAGGTGAAAAACCAGAACAGTATTGAAGTGGCAGAGCTCCACTACAGAAACTCTGATCTTAAAAAGGTATGCTGGCTGAAGTTTTACAACTTGTTTTACACTCAATACATTTTCAGTAGATTATGGATTATTAGCAATCTTTATAGAAGCAAAGTTATTGAAGTTGTGTTGATAAATCCGTGCAATTGTCAGTTGTCAGTTTAACCAAGCACTGCGAAGTCATCCTATGTCCTCGTCCATACGACGTCATCTCACATGGTTGTATTAAATAGGAATTAGAAGCTGAAAACTAGTACAGACTACATATTAGTAATGGAAAGTTTGGATAAATGTGTTGCAAAAAGGAAAGGGTTAGGGTTCTTACCTTAAAATCTCAGCTAGTAATGGTGAGTAACATCTGAGAAGAAACTGACAGCAGAAACAGCTGATAAGTCATGTGTGTAAAAGTTCACTATGTCAGAGCTGATTCCAAAATAATGTTTCCATCTCCTGTTTTGCTCATGAACCCTTTTTCGCAAAAAAAAAACAACCCCAAAAACAAACAAAAACCACCTAATAGAATTTTAGGGAGTTTATTCATATTTAGCTGTTTACATCAAGCCAATTTGTGTAATGACCGGGGGAAAAAAATAAAATAAGGAAGACCCAGAATTCGACCAGGAGAAAGAGAGATGTTTAAACAATTTATTGGAATGGGAAACTTCCATCTGTTGGGAGGAATTCATCATAGTCAGCAACTAGAAGTTCTGGAAAGAGATTGGACAGATGAGTGACCAGACAGAAACAAAGGGGAATGTTTCTGTTGTTGGATTATAGTTCACTAACCTTCTTTGCGTTTGGGGACAAACTTTGAGAGTTTCTGAAGATGCCAGTTGGCGTGTGACATCACTGGTGAAATTCTGATGATTCTACAATCTGTCCAGGCTGATTTGGAGGAATCCTTCTTTGACAGTTAATCGTTAATCCAACAGAACGCACAGGGTCAGATTGGTGAGAGCAGAGACCGGCAGAATGATGAAGGGGATAAACCAGAGTTCACAATCTGCGAGCAGGTCCAGAGTCAAAGCCAGAAGATCAGAGATCCAGAGACAACCTAGGGGAGAATCCAAGACAGAGGTCAGGGCACAAAAAGCAGGTCGGAGATCCAAAAACACACGACAGGTCCCATAGGGTTTAGGTAAGCTCAGAAAATCAGGAAACAGAATTGGCTCAGAATCAGGCAGACAAGTTTAAAGAAATGTTGAAAAAAACTCACGATAGCTAGTAATAATCTGGCACTACTTACTGGTCTGAGAGCTCATGGGGTCAGGTAAACTAGTGAATGAGATGGAGGCTGATTGGAAATAGGGTGGAGCTGACAGGTGTGTTGAATCCTGAACCAATCCAGCAGTAGTGCCTGAAATTATGACACTCTGATGTGATACTTCAAGAAATACTTCATTAGGAAAAGTTAAGGGAAATGCACCTTGTGTTGGGGTTTGAGGTGCACTTGTTGCTTGTCTTCTGTGATTCATCTTCACAATATGTTGCCCCTGTACGTTTGCTGCTGTGCAAACTTAACCAAGTAGCCAAGTCAAGGAAGCTGCAGATTGTTTTACACCTATATACACAAAGAATTTACCCAGAATCACTCTATCATGAACTGCATAATGAAACCTAAAGAGGCAACAGACGTAAATAGAGGGAAACTTGTTTTAAGTGATTTTACATGAAACTGTCAGGAAAGAAAAAGGGTTGTCTATATATTGAATGTGATAGTACATTTCTAAATATTTAAAATGTGCTGTAAATCCACTCAAACTACCTGTAAAAAATACACAGATTTCCTACTTTATTGTTCCCAAATTGTGTCAACACAGAGAAATGGTCTTGTGCAAGACTCTATTTTAGAAACCAGTCTAACTTCCGATTTGAAGCTTACAGGAACCGTTGTTTTAATACATTTAACACACACAAACATGTTTTTTTTATTTGCCCATTTATTTCTTTAATTCATAGTTATTTACAAATAGGTTAACATTATCTATAGTATGTACTGTATGTAAGATACTGAGTGATAATATGAATTTCCAAGAATACACTTTAAACTACTTTAAAGTGTCCAATTATATTTTGAGGAAAAATGTTTCTTGACACTTTATTTTGAGATTAACATAGTTTGTACATGTGCAGATTCAGATATTTTAACACATGAAAAACACTATTGCTTTCTACATGCTTATTGCCTGTAGAAGAATGTCAGTTTTTCTTCACTGCAAGAATATGCTCATTATCTCTTTTATGAGGAGAAAACAGATGTTCTAAGTTAAATTAATACCTACAAAGCAGTTTTACTGTTTAACACAAAAATGCTGTTTAACCCTATAATCATAGACTTCCATCAGCCCTATTGTTTAAACTCATAGTTTTTCAAGCTGTACGTTGCTGTTCACTTTTAATAGACCGACTGGCCTCTTAAGTGAAAATCCATCTGTAAAGGGAACATTTCTAAATTTTCTATTTCAGGAAGCAGCAGCATGTGTTTGTATTCTGTTGTAGTGACAGCTAAGTTTAATAGGTTTAGCAGAGTTGATGCAAAAGAAAGTTAAGGGTCTGTTAAAGAACAGCTACCTTGCTGTGGTGCTTCTCGTAAAATGTAAAATTTTCCTACATATATAGCAGCAGTGTACACTGCATACCCTGGTTATTATAATGTTTCCTGTTCTACATCTGTTGCAGGCTGCAGCATATTTGAGAACTGTAAGCGTTGTAACAATGGCACATGGGGGCCCAAGGATAACTTCTTTGTTGATGGCCAATACTGTGCCGAGTGTCGCCCCGGCTGGTCTGGAGGAGATTGCATGAGTAAGTCTTTTTAATCATCCGTGGTAGTTTTTCTCTCTATTCTGTAAGTTGAATTGAACAAAGGGGTATGTGTCCTGTGTGCTGGTACAGTTTATGCACAGTTGCCTTGCTGCAAGAAGGTTCTGGGGTTGATCCCCGGCCAAGAGTCTTTTTGCATGGAGTTGGCATATTCTCCCCAAATGTACTTCGTAATTCGACTGAAACATGGACTAGGAGTTCATTTAAAAGAGTTAATAGCACTCTAAATTGCCCTTAGTTGTATGTGGTTGTGTGTCTCTGTGATGGAATGGCAAACTCTGTATAACTGGGTGTATATAAACTTTCTTGCCAATAGACTTCTTGAGATAAGCACCACCCCACCGTGACTTTGATGGTTAAGCAACAGAAGATGGATAGTTCCATATGTTTATTTATTTATTTTTTCTTTCTTTTAATTTGATTTATCTTTAGTTGAGCCTTTTGTGCCATGCTGGATCTTTGCCAAAACCTCAGGGTTTTTTCCACAAGCATATGAATGACAAATCAGTCAACAATTGGCCTGCCCATAAAACAAGCTAAAATATAGCATTGAGTCTATGTTCCATATGCAAATATTCTACCACAGGGCACAGCATACATAGCATGCATTTAATTAATGGCAGATGCCAATGTTTCTTTGTGAATCTCTCTGTTGACTCTTTATATTCTGTTTATGCCTCTTCTGCTTCTTTACTGATGTTGAAAAATTATAAACCATATTTTTCCAGGAAAACAATGCAGAAATATGTTCCCCAAACAATTATCCACTGCTAAAAGAGCAGCATATATCTCTCTGTATGTTTCAGAGTGTGGGGGAGTTATTCATAAACAACAGGGACATTTGGTTCTTGAGAGCTACCCCAACAATGCAAGGTGTGAGTGGACCTTGCAGGTGGAAAGGCCTTTTACCATTGAACTTCGGTAAGGCAAATAAACTACGATTTTTAAACATTTCCTTCCTTATCTGTGTAATAGGTCAACGCTAGTTGATTATCTTATGTCTGTGTAGCATTGGTGAGGTGTGGTGAACCATACTAATGTATATATAACCATATCACTGTATAAATCACATTCTTTAAAATTGTCCTATTCAAAGATACCACGGTTATCATATACAGTGTATGCTTATTTTGGGGAACTGAAAACAAGCGGTGCAGATGGCTAGGTGGAGAATAAAAGCTACATGCATTATGATTCCTCTCAGAAATTAATTTTTTTTATCCATATCAAACTTTAATCAAATGTTGACTTTGTTATAAGCATTGAAAACTGCAATTTTACATAAATGCTGTCATTGGTGAGGCATCCATACTCATGACCTGCCACATGAAAAGAAAGACCTACTAGCCAACCTAAATATTAAATCGTAGTCCACACAATATTTAAACACTCTCTACCCATAACAGTGCTCTCCTCTATGATTATTAAAGATTAACACATAAACTTTAACAATCACACTGATTACTGTAAACCATTAAATTGCATTGTGATGTATTAGTGGTGTGAAATAGATACATTTACACATCTGGTAGACATTTTAAATGAAAGAATGAGGAGGTAAGATGGGTTTTTTTCCTGGATGACTAGGATTTTCATTGCCCGTGATGATAAGTCAGACTCCCATTGCTTATTGGAGAATGTCGATGTTGATGTCAATAGTGATTGCCAGGTGATCCGAGATGTCGAGGCTGAGGTTTGAGATATGATTTACTGAGATGCTGAAGGAGCAGAGAAAATTCAGGGTGTGACAAAGAAAGTGAGTAGAGAAGATAAAATGTTTGAAGTTGAGCAATGTAGCAGGTCCAGGACCTCAGTAGCAGATTTGCAGTTCCTGTCATCATTGTGGAAATCAAAATCACCTAAGAGGATGTCTGCAGGTGAGATGGCAAAAAGCCGTGTCAGAAGAACAGAGAAATCAGAGAGAAATTAGGGGTTAGTATTACGGCTCAATAACTGACTGCTAGGACTAGAGAAGTAGGACCAAATAGCTTAAATACAACATGTTAAAATTAGGGATAATCAGGAATGGAGAAGGAGGTATTTTCATTTTCTTTTTTATGTACAGCTGCAACACCACCTCCTTGCCTCTCAGTGTAACTTTTTTGTGTATATGAAGCCATGGATTCTGGTCTGGTTCAGAAATTATCCAGGAGCAAACCCCAGGATTATCTGTCTCACTGGCCTTTTCTGGATTGTGCTGTGAACACTGACGGCAATGAGAGGGTCAATACTGAGGTTTACTGAAAAACCTACACATACAGACTAATATCTGAAATTTGATTCACATCAACCACTGGAACACAAACTTTCATTGATCCGACCTCTTATTTACCAGGCTAACAATGTTCCCTCAATTGCAGAAACATGTGGTTTTCTGAACCTTACATTTGTTAAGTTTTCCAAAAAAAAATTTAACATGAAGAACACTGCATTTAATAAAGAGGAGAAGACAAAGAGCCAAAAACATTGCAATGCCATGAGTCAGGAGTTTCTTAGAAACTCAGAGGAATTTTCTCTAAATATAACATAAGAAATAACATAACATCCCAATTCCCATAAAAGTTAAAAAGTCTGGCAAAATGTTATTATATTAATTGTGTCTCAGCTGACATAAATTAATGCTGGCTATTTATTTTAATGGATGCTAAATGGACAATGATTTTAAATCTAGTATAATAGCTGCAGTTTCAAACATGCTCACAAGCCTAAAGCCAAGTTCACGACCTTGGAGATATAATAACGGCAACAATATACAGCACAAAGTATCACAATCGCAGTCATCACATCACCAAAAAGATTTTAAAAAAGATATTTATCACATTTATAGTTTGAATTCAGTTGTATCCAAGTACATTTGAAGATGGTATAAAGCTCCCCAAGCTAAGGAAAACAGAGGTCTGTGAAAATACTTGGACATTTGGTTTTAAATGTATGTTTGTGCCTTTGTATATAAATAGACAACCAAAAGGAACCCTCTCTATGTTGTTCCAACTTCGCTACACAAATGTTTAATCTGATTCACAGAAAATACTTCATTATCAAGACTTTGAGATTGCAACAACACCTTCTATGTGCTCAACATCTCAAATATTGGTCTCTTTATCACTCATCTGTAAAAGCCATTAATAAGTGGCCTGATGGATTGAAATTTTTTACTTTGCACAAGTATTAAGTGTTATGTGTTTTTTTTTAAGTTAATATCAGAATTCTACAACCTCCCTCTCCAATCAGCAAAATGTATGAATTTAATTATAACATGATTTTCTATTTCTATACTTGTGTCCCAAAGACTTTCAAAGGAAGCTTTTAAACAAAGACCTAGCACAGCTGTTCACAGGCTAGTTTGTTTATTTCTTTTTTTCTAGTCTAAGTTCTTCAACAATATTCGAATGATTTATTCTGAAATTCAAGTGATATCAATTTGTAGAAACTGTTGCAGACTTAATTTCCCTCAAACATCATCCCTTATTAGTTAATATTCAATTAATTTTAATACCATTTATTTATATACCTCCAATTCACAACACGTCACCTCAAGGCACTTTACAGTTCACCAGATCATACAGTCAAATTGATTCAAGGTTTTCTATCAAAGGAAAATGAGTTGATTGCATCGAGTCATTGACTCGAAAGCAATCCGTCAAACTAAGCATGCTTGTGTGCTGGAGTTGGTGCAGCAACACTACTATATTAACCCTGACCATTGTTTGCACACAAAAAACAAACACACCAAAGCTACCACATATTTATAAACTGAGAGACAATTTTACACTATAAATTTAAGTTATATGTATTTCAAATTCTGTTAAAGGAGAACATGGTTAATTAATTATCAAAACAACTTTTTGCCATATTTGGTAAGGCTGTAAGTATGCAGGGAGTGTTTGGTTTTTAAGTCTCAGAGGACCGCATCTAAGAGCAAGCTAAGAACAATCTGGTGTTCAGGCTCCTTTTAGTGGCTCTTAAGCAGTTTATAGATATGCTGGATTTAAGAAGAATCAAACAAAAACTAATTGGTCATATTACCAGTGCAGAAAAGGCAGCATGAGGCCGGGACCCACTCTGTGGCAGAACCGATTACTAGAATCTACATGCAGGACCAATTAAGCAGTTAGGTGGTTTCTTATGCAGAGCTAAAGCAAGAAACAGAGGGAGAAATTGGGCTTAATTACTGACAGAAACTGTTCAACATTAAACTTCTTTGGTCTTACACTGCCTCCACTTTAGGAGCTTTAATGGGGTTGCTTCTGCAAGGCCAGCAGTGGGAAAGTGGCCTGAAGCAGGCTAAGATCTTTTTCATGCTTGTTTAGTTTTTTTTTAAGTTACATAAAATTTTATTTATTTACAGCTCCATTTAGAATTTGGTTTTGTTTTCAGAAGACATAAATGACTCTTAGGTTGCAATAAGAAGTGTGTATGTTTGGAGTCAAGGTCTAGTCTTTTTATCCCTCTTTAGAGCACAATATCAAGCATGGTGGTAGCCTCCTAATGGTAAGGGGATGTTTTCTGCCAGTTGTTATGGGTTTCTTAACCCTGGACCTCAGGGCCCACTTTCCTTCATATTTTAGATATGTCTCTTCTTCGGCACACCAGATTCACATGATTGCATTACCTCCTTGGCAGCCATCAAATGTTGCAAAGGCCTTTTGATCACCTTTTCATTTAGATTAGGTGTGTGGAGGCAGAGAAACGCCAACAACATGTAGGACAGTTGGCCCTGAGGACCAAGGTTAAGAAATTATCCATTATGGTACACTGAAAAAAAGTACAATAATGAGAACAAAGACTACCTTATTTAACTTAACTTTCATTTGCAAACAATTTCTGTGGATTTAGATGTGGTCAAATATATCAGTGTGAATTAAAGAAACCCATAACTGATTAAAGCTTTGATCATGTTGTTTTGAAGATTCATCTAATGTAGACTATGTTGTATGATCAATTCCTCTTGAAAAAGTAATGCATCATTAAAAGCCAAAAATAATGTTTATATGTCCATGAAGTAATGTAAAAGTTTGAATGTCTGCAACTGTGTCTTCTGAAACATCTAAACATTTACTTCCTTGCTTGTTATTTACATCCAGGTTTATGATGCTGAGCCTGGAATCTCATCCTTCCTGTCGTTACGACTTTGTGGAGGTCCGTGATGGAGACAGCATTAACTCCCGTGTCATCGGTAGATTCTGTGGAAACAACCGTCCCGCATTACTCCAGAGCTCTGGCAACACTTTGCACATTCTGTTTGTTTCTGACGGATACAAGAATTTTGACGGATTCTTTGCTACTTTCCAGGAAAGCTCAGGTTGGTCGAATAAAAAAGACAATAAAGCACCTCTTGATAAGAATAGTTTGTATATTTAACTGTAAAGATCAGCCAAATTTTAAATCCTCACCAGTATTATTAGCAATGGAATATATTTTCACATGAAAGGAATATTAGTTCTATAAAAGTGAACTGGCATATGTTTTGTGTAATAAATATAAAGGGCATTTGTAACATGACACGCAATGAACTAAGAGGCTCTGTAGAACCGTAGCCCACAACAGATGAAAACAAGAAGAAGTTGCCATGGCACCCCTCATCCATTGCCTTTGTGAAGCTCTTTGGTGGTGCGTGACTGGCACCTACATGTTGCAGGTCAGAATTTGCTAAAGTAAACGGAGGCTGCTTTGTGTGTAAATACTTACATGTATTTAGAGACGAAACCAGGAAGGATTTCAGCTTTTTATATGAAGGATTTAATCATTTGGAAAGGCATTTAGTAAATATATGTCCCTAATTCTGGTTGCATTTCAGCATCACATTTGTCTTTTAACAGCTTGCAGCTCATCCCCTTGCCTGCACGATGGGACTTGTATTCTGGACACTTCTTACACTTACCACTGTGCCTGTTTAGCAGGCTATACTGGGAAGAGGTGTGAAAATGGTAGGTGTTTAAGATTTAACCATACAAACACAGTGCTAGTAGTTTGTATTTAAATATAAAACCATAGAGATAAAAATGTTGATCTATTCAAGTAATTTTAAGTCCTATAACTTAATTTTTTTTTATCTAAAGTGACATCTGAAGAACCATACTGAGCTTTGTGGTGTACGAAAACTATTTGGGTATATCTGAAAGGAGACACACCTAGTTACGGCATATTTATCAAGAACTTATTTCTTCCTTGAAGTTTTTTTTTTTTTTCTATTGTGTTGCTGGCCTGAGTCAGGCGATGATTCACAGTCTTGAGGGAAATGTTTGTGGTCTGGACTGAGTTCTCATCAGCTGCCTCCAACAATTGTGGTTTTCTAAAGCTATAAAATAAGTTTTTAGTAGAGAGGCTGAAATCCACCTAACTAATCCGTTTTCCTGATTCTAGGGAGGATAATGAATGACACAACTATTTCAGTTGATGACAGTGTCCTGCAAAAATATTCACATCCCTTCAATTTTTTTTTATTCATCCTGCATAAAGTTTAGTCCAGCTAAACCAAACTATTTTACAAATTAATTTATTACATTTCATGTGAGAAATCTAAAGAAAACTGTGTTGGGAATAAACAATCTCTGTCAGGGTTGGTGCATATAGTTGTGGACCCAAATGCAGAGTAGAAGGAGGTACAGAAGATTGCTTGCAAAATTTAATGAATAAGGCAACAGAAACAAAATCCAAGAATCGAATGCAGAAAACCAAAAACCTGGAGATGTCAGAGAAAAGCACACATGGGGAGGGCCAAGTAACAACTAGAAACCAGCAAAGAGTAACTGAACAGGAGGTGTATATATGGGAGACAGAAACAATGGGGGGAATAATTATCTGTTAGGGAGCAGGTGTAGACAGAAGTAACCTGAAGGAGCTAAGCCAAAGGAGACAGGCACGAGGGGGCAACCGAGAGCAACTAAAAAAATACAACACTGCTTAAATATAACACAAAATGGAAAAGAAACCAATGAAAGAAACCAAGAAAACAGAATGACATACATAACTGAAAACTCAAAAAGAAACTCAAAAAGAAGTCCAAAAGGGGAGAACCATAACAAATATCCCTTAAATTCTGTAGCATGTTATAGGTAGGCTCTGTGTATCTCCAGTCTACCACATCATCACATTTTCAATCATACACATTAGCAGATGAGTAGACATCA